ATAACATATGTTTGGCCTCCAAAAAGGTTAATCCTAAAGAATTTTACACTCATTACTGTTCTTTCTTGGAACTCAATAACATGAAATTTCAAAAAAAAAAATTGTTGTGATGTACTCTTGAACAATAAATTGTAAAGTTCTGAAAACGATTTAGCTTTTTAATGTTTTAATTACTTTCTTAGTAAATATAATTCCAATGTCTGCTTCGAACTTCTTCATAAGGCTAAGGAGAAAAACTACCAGAGACCTTCTTGAAATAAGTGATTAGTTAATACCATTTCATGTTAGTACAACATATAAAGAAATGGCACAGAAATATCAAATTAAATTAGACAGATTCTTATAGTGTCTTAAAAAAATATATTTATAGCTCCAGATATATATTCTTAGAGCGACGTTTACAAATGATTTAAAGACCGTGTTTGCTGCTTTAAACTGTGATAGCATAGTAGAAAAGAAGAATAATTTATTAAAGATGAAAGAAAAATGTTACATAAGAAGAAAAGATAACATATTCTAATTCACTCAGAGTATTAGCAAGTATATTAAATTCGTTATAGATAATAAAAACAATACTATTACATAGACTTTACTGATATTTTAAAATAGATTGTCTTTAATTTATACATTTTTATTTTAAATATATATAACGCACTTCATATATTAAAATAAAATTGGGATTATTTAAAAAACGTTATTTCTATTAATTTTGCACTATTAAGATTAGTCTTGGTAAATATAATGTTAAATACAACTGATTTATGAGATTGAAATTACAAAAAAAAAAGATAAAATTGAAGATAAACATATTAAAACCAAACATTATAACAACGATAGGTAATTATTACTACAAATTAATAATATTTAAAATGTCTTAATATAAAAAAAGAAATGAAAAATAAAATTAACTTACGTTGCTTCTGTCAAAATTGAATTTACCAAGGATGGCTCACTAAATAAATGAAAATTAAAAAAAAAAATAAAAAATAAATTGTACTGAAATTAAGAAATAAAAAATTAATAAATAAACTAACTTTATATACACTTGGTACTTGTGAAATTTTACAAAAATATTTAATAAATTATATTACACATAATTCATAGATCAATTTTGATTTATTACGAATACCATTGGTCTCTCATCATACTGATTCTAAATCCGTGACATATTTTTTATTATTGAGCACTGATTGATTAAAAATCAAGGTTTATAATACTTCAATTATTATTTAAATAAACCAGAGGAGAAACGTTTTTTTATATAAAATATGTTTTTATATTTTACTCTTATTATAATTGACAATTGAGCTAAATTTCTAACAGTTAATGTTCGACCTCTGTTAAACCATTTTTCCATCTTATATTTAAATAGAATCTAGGAGCACGGACGTTATCACAAAATGATGAAACAGCACTGGGAGTGTTTGAGAGTTCTTCGATAGTTCTTCGAAAGATCTTAGGTTCTTTACGACGATTACCGCATCCGAATAAACCACGAGCTTCACGGCCTCGCTGAGTTATCGTAAGAATTGATCATGATGTTCCAATGAAAAAAATGTTTGAAGCAGCAAATGGCAGAAGAATGCGTAGAGTTACATCGCGTTCCCAATTTAGTGATCAAGTTGATGACCACTTTCTGCACTTAATGTGCGAGACTGGCGAAGACGTGCACACAACACAGGCGCCTAGAGATACATGCTGCGTCAGGCCAAAGCCCGATAACAGGTTGTTATGTCCAAATAAGTAAGTAAATACAACAACAAATTAATTCTCAATAATTTAATATTTTTTTTGATTTTTTAAGAAAACCAGGGAATAAATTGGCTTTAAATTAGCTAAAACTTCTATGTGCTTTACATTTAGATAATACAATATAAATCAATTATTCACAAAACACAAGCGGAATATTTTTTAAGTAAATACTATATATATTTTTTTAATGTAAAATTCAAACACATATTTTGGGTGCTATAAAATGTAGTCAACTAATTCCATTGATTTGTTGGCATGAGTTGGTTGGACTTCCAAAAGAATATCTGTGTGAAGTCGCATTTAAATAATTTAATAACTTAGAGACAAGTTTACATTTGAAAAGATAAATATCATCTTGTGATGTAAAAATTTTAAATTGTTTAAAATTGTTAAAAAAGTTTAATTAAAATATTTTCCTGAATATATATTTTTATTTTTTTTTTTACAAGTTATACAAATCACAAGTGTATCAACTTTTAGTATAATGTCTTCAAAAGACTTTAGCTTTTTGCAATCATAAGTAAGATATATTGTGAATTGAAGCAAATAATACCAGACTGATGAAAGAAAAAAAAAAGATTTTAACGGACGGCAAGTGGGACGTTTCATGCATTCCTTTTTGTATATTTAATTGGTCTAACTATAGAACTAAATCAATAACCTTCAAATCCACGCTTGCATTGTCACCAAGTAAACAAAAACATTAATGTACCATGTGTATATAAATTATATGTAATAATATAACAAATGTAATATTAAAATATACATATAATTAAAAAATATTGAAAATAAATTATAAAAATATAATTTATTGTATAATATAAAAATGTGTATATAAATTATATGTAATAATATAACAAATGTAATATTAAAATATACATATAATTAAAAAATATTGAAAATAAATTATAAAAATATAATTTATTGTATAATATAAAAAAAAAGTTTATTTCAACAAAAAATAAATATTAAACGAAAAACCAAAAATATAAGTGAAAAATTTTTATTATTTTAAAAATGAAATACAAATAATTCAATTAATTATTTAATTAAAAACTTTTTATATATACAATAATATCTACAAATAATTTATTAACTGGTTTTGTTACAATCATACGAAAAAAATTAAATTTATGTATATTAAAACAAAATGTAAAAAATATCAAATATAAAAAAGAAATTCAGAAAAATGTATTCAAATTTATTGCAAATATAAAATTAATAATGGGTAATAAATCACTATCACTTATTTATTTTTAATTATTCTTTTAATACATTATAAATTAAAATAAAATTATTTTATTGATATTTCTCAACATATATTAGTTAAAACAATCTTATTAGGGGTAAATGTTATTGTATGGAATTGCATGTATTTTAAAACAAGTATAATAATATGTATATGTATTAATTATTTCTGTTCATAAAAATCTCTACAGTTAAGAGAATAAAGTGTGATTAAGAATATTAATTTTAAAAATGTTTATGTGTAACAAAATAAATTAATTAATTAAAAAAATTTTAAATTCACACTTAAATTTCTGTTTTAACAATTAATTTATTAATATATTTATTTTTAAGATTTAAAGTATTGAAAAGTATTTACCTTAATTTTATATAATTTTTGATTTTAACTATAATATATTAATAATTTAACGATAAAGTAGGTTAAAATCTTGAAATATACCTGAAAAGAAAAGAAAAATTTATTAATATTAGCATATATACTATATATATATTGTGTACAGTAAATATTATTTATAATAATAAACTTGTAAAATTGCGAAAATATGAAAAAAATTTTTTTTTTAATTTTACTACTGATTTCTGTAAATCTATGTATTTTCAAGTTAAAAATAATTCAAGAAAATTTAACTAATTATTTTTGTATAATTTAAAGAATAAAAAGTTGGAACCGTGTCTTACAGTAATATAGAAAACAACATTTTTTAGAAGGGTTCGAATAGAAATTAAAAGACAACAACAAAAGTTTAGTTAATTTATTGAAATTTGGTTGACCATATTCAATAGTTACTTTTAATAAATTAACTAAATTTTTATTGTCTTTCCATTTCTATTCGAACCCATCTATCTTTTAGAATAGTTACTTTTCGTTATAAGACGCGTCACTCTCGGAAGAAAAAATTAACATTAAGAAAAAAAATTGTTTTGTGTAGAATAACAAAAAGGGAAATTATTAAATAA